GCTGGGAGTCCTCCCAGACGCCTTATTTACAGTTACAAGTGCAGAAGAAGGTGGCCAAATGCCAGAGCCATGGCCCTGGGGTGGGACCCACTTCCAGCCCTCACCCCAGCCCTGTGCCTGTGGTCCCTTAGTCCCAAGCAATGTGGCCTTAGAGCCAAATTGCCCCTGCAGCCTGGACAGGGCAGACCAAGGAGGAGCAAGACTGGGAGTCAGGATGCCTAGGCTCAGATCCTGTGTGCCTCTGCTCTTACCTCTGGGAGCTCAGTTTTCCTGTCTATAAAATGGGTTGATTGGCACTATGCTATCAGAGGGGATTCCAACACTTGCCAGCTAACATTTGGGGTCAGGAGTAAGTAGCAGGGGAAGATTTGGCACCTACTCTCTTCCCTGCTCCCAGTGCAGAAGGGCAGCTGCTGATCTAATTAACTGCAATGCAACTAAAGAGCTCTTTTTAGTGACTAAGGACAAAGACCCCACATTACAGATGGAAAGCCCAAGGCCCAGAGAAGAGCAGGGGCTCACCTAACGTCACCCAGTGGAGTCAAGACTAGCGCTGGGACTCTGCATTCCCTAGCTTTCTCTGTGAAAGGGAAGCAAAAGAGCTAACGGCAGCTGCAGAGCCTGAGGTTTGTGGTTGCTGGGGGTTCTCTGCACCCTGGCCCTCACCTCCTAACCTCTCTTTCCTCCTCCTTGATGCCATGGAGATCCCTCCCCCCGGGCCACAAGCACCCTGCAGCGGGAGAGTCTGGTCAGGCCAGCAGTCCTCCCACCAGGCTGGACTCCCTTCGTCTCCATTGTGAAGACACGCCCTGGCCTGAGCGAGCCTGTACTGCCAGCATGAGGTCCTCAGGGGGTCCCCGGGGGTGGGCTGGGGGGCATCTGGGTCCTGCGGGGGGACTCCTGCTCTATCACGTGCGTGACATTGTTCATCTTCCTGCGCCTCTCCCATCACCCCCAGCTGACGTCAGCGTGTGCCCACTCAGAGCTGGCAGAAAGGACACTGGGGTTTGGGGCCAGATACTGCCACTTACTGAGTGACTCCAGGCAAGTCATGCAGCCTTTTTGAGTTTTTCAGTAAAGGGGCTGTTGTGGAGAAACAACTAGATACTAAGTGAAAGTAGCATAGTGCCTAGGACACAGGGAGAGCTCACTGCAGAGCAGCTGCTATTATCATCTGAAAAACAGGATTACTAATAGCTACCCGGGGGTTCTGGAGAGGGGGTAAGGGCACACCACATCTAAAAAGCTGGGCCCATTTAGGACTATTTGGGCCAGACCAAAAATGGCAGGGGTGGCTCAGGCAGGGCCAGGCAGCTCATTCACGGGCAAGGGGGCCATCCTGGGGGCTCCGAATGCTCAGCAGGGAGTTGACCACCTCTTCAGCTCCCAGATGGGGCTAATCCCCCACCCACCAGCCAGCCACCCAGCCTTGATCAGGTATGATCCAAGCTGGAAGGACAGCACCAGGGTGGGTGGGAGCCTGGAGCCTGGGAAGACCCACATGATCAATACTAAGCCAATCTCTTAGAAGACTGCCCTGGCCTCCGGTATCCAGTCATAAAGAAAATCACTCAGCACGTTGGGGGATTTGAAAAATGCCATGGATTACAGCTCGGGATGTTCCGAGTGAGAGTAAGTGAGTCCGGCATTGTTTCCTGCAGTAAATAATTCATCCACTTTAAATTTCTTTTTTTTTTTTTTGCCAATGCCTTCCGTCCCTGCAGCCTCTCTGGCTGCCTCTCCCTCCTAGCTTCCTCTCAAGCCTGATATCTCCAAGGCTCCCACTCCCACCCCTGTCCGGGGCACCCCCACAGCCAGCAAGGAGCTCATAGCACAAATGTTTTGAGTCTGTTAATGACACTAATCGTCTTTCACTGTTAATTAGTAACACTGCCAAGAAAAACTTCTTTGTTACCAAGGCTAACGACCACCCAGGCAGGAGGGCCTCGCTGGGGCAGCCATGGGAAAACCAATAGATATGCTGGGCAGCCGTGCACAGGCTACAGCCCCGGAAGGGTCAGTCTGCTGGACAGACGGTGGTCTGGCCAGAGACAGCAGGACCCTGTCCTCTGCTACATCCGCCTGTGGGCTGAGACCAGGTCAGGGGGCAGGGAAAGAGGTCTGGCTAGTGATGGTTCCTTCACCACCAGCACAGGCACACTACCGAGCCCCACGTCACAAGCATGGATCAACTCCAATCTGAGAGTCAATTCTGCCACACAGGACTCAGAAGGGGCTACTGGTGGACACCTGTGTGCAATCTCCTGGTGCACCTGCAGCTGGGTCTCCGGCAGACCATCGGCAAGCAGACCCTGGGGTGGTGCTGGGCATCCGAAGACACATCACACTCTGCCCTGATCTCCGGGAACTCATAGTTGGTGTGGAGATGATCAGCAGCCAGCACTCAGCACTTACAGGCACTTATGTACATTCATTGATTCCTCCCAACAGCCCCACAAGGTAGGAACTTCTTTTGGCTTGAGTTTTTTTTTTTTTTTTTTTTGTTACAGATAACAAACCTGAGGCACAGAAAGATCAAGACATGTGTGATGTGTGACCTGTGTCCACAGTCACACAATAAGGCAGAACTAGGTTGTGATCTTGGAAAGCCTGGGTTGTGCCTGCTTTAACCACAAAACTTTGACCAGAAAAGTGAAAAGACAACTTTAATTCAGTGTGAGTTGTGCCAGAATAGGGTCCATTTAGGGGCTGTGGGAGCACAGAGGACACATGTCATGCAGTCTTAGGTGATCAGTGAAGGCTTCCGGGAGGAGGTGGGATCTGAGAGAGCGTTGAGGGGTGCATAGGAGTTATCTAGGGAAAGTAGGAGGTGGAAAGGAATCCCAAGAGGCCAGGGCATTGTGAGCAAGGCAGGCAGGTGAGAAAGGGGAGAGTTCAAGTGGTGTGGCGATGTTTGAGGGTAAGGAGCAGGTGGGGGAGGTGGGAGACCAAGCTGCAGAGCTGTTGTAGCCAGAGGAGCTGGATGTTATGCTGGGGCCGTGGGGAGCCCGGCAAGGGGAGCAGCAGAGAAGACCTGATGTAGGAATATAGGAAGCTTGTCTGGCTGCAGGGTGAAGGGATATTGTAGGGGAGACACTGGGAGATGTGTTAGGCCAGGAAAGGGCTGGCCAGCAATTGAGCTCAGGCCCTGCTGCTGGGACTGGAGGGGAGGAGGCCAGTTCAGTAAGCGATTGGGAGGTAGCAGCGGGCAGAACCAGTGGCGGATGGCAAGTAGAGGTAGAAGGGAGAGGGAGGAGGCAGGCTCCAGACAGACAGAGGAGTGGGGAGCCCTGCCAGGCCTCTCAGCGTGGAAGCACAGCCTGCTGACTCAAACTCAGCTTGGGCTCTGGGGGGCCCAGCCACCAGGAGCTGATAAAGACAGTTAGGGCCCAAGCCCGAAAGGCCCCCTGGACAACCCTATCTCCTCCTTGGGCACCTCAAATCCCACCATCCCAGCGTCATTCTCTTGGGTAAAGTATTGCCTGTTCTCTGTGGGAGAGATTGTATTATGTCCTGAATTCCTCTTACACAGCATTAAAGACTCAAATTACATATCATCTTTGTTTCAGGGGCAACTTTCTGGGGCTCCTCCAGGCAGAATAAACTGTTCCTTCCTTTGTGGTCCCCGAGTGCCTCGAATGTTGCACAGCCCCCATGATATCAGAGAAGGGTGTTTTGTTTTGATTTTTGCAGTCTGTCGCATTAGCCTGGGAGCTCTTGGAGGGGCAAGGTGGCAGGGATCCTTTTGTCTGTATGTGTTTTTGCAAATGAGGACAATTTTTTGTGGTGCATTTTTTGAGTGGGTCTCCCTTTCTAGACTGTGAGCCCTCTGAAGGTGGTCTCTTATTTATCATACAGTAACATTGACTATTTTTTGGTGTTCAGCTCTGTGAATTTCAACACGTTAGAGATTCATGTAACCACCGTCTGAATGTACACTGAATTCATGTAAATGCTGTTGATCCCTATGGGCTTCTTACTCCCTTCATTTTCATATTTTAAAGAGTCATCCGTGTCTGCTGCTGTGCACATGTCTGCTGCACTGACAGCTACCCAGACCTCCATGGTGTGTGTGTCCCCACATCCTCCTGCCCACCTCCCCAGGAGGACACCTAGGTCACCTCCAACTCCCCTACCACAAATGACATTAGGATGATCACCCCCAGACTTGTCCTTCACAGACATACCAAGACTTTTTCTGGGCTTTATACCCAGGAGACGAATCCCTGGGCCATACGGTCAGCACATAAATAATGATCTCTAAATCCCACGTCATTCATGAGGGTGTCCTGGCCATATGGAGAGATAACAGGCCATATAATGCCAACATGCACCCATAGGGCTGTTCCAGGTGTTAAAATGTTGACACCTTCCACTCTGGTGGATAAATAGGTGCTTCCCCATCCT